AGCGCCCAACCCCCTGATCGACCCTGCTCTGTGTGTGACAGCGACGGAGCCCCAACCCCCCTGATGGGCCCTGCTCTGTGAGTGACAGGGGGCAGCACCCCAACCCCCTGATTAGCCCTGCTCTGTGTGTGACGGGGGCAGCACCCCAATCCCCTGATCGGCCCTGCTCTGTGTGTGACAGGGGGCAGCGCCCCAGCCCCCTGATCGGCCCTGCTCTGTGCGTGACAGGGGGTGGCGCTGCAACCTCCCCATCGACCCTGCCTTGAGTGTGACAGGGGGCGGTGCCCCAACCCCCTAATTGGCCTTACCCTGAGCGTGACTGAGGGTGGCATCGCAACCTCCCGATCTGCCCTGCTCTGTGCATGACGGGGCAGCGCCCTAACTCCCTGATCGCCCCACCAGGGGCTGCACCTAGGGATTGGGAGTGCCCTCTGCCACCCGGGAGCAGGCCTAAGCCAGCAGGTCGTTATCTCCTGAGGGGTCCCAGACTGCGAGAGGGCACAGGCTGGGCTGGGGGACCCCCCCTCCCCTCCCGAGTGCACAAATTTTTGTGCACTGGGCCTCTAGTATCTATATAAAAAGCCTAAGCGACCAAACGACCGGTCGCTATGACGCACACTGACCAGGGGACAGATGTTCAGTCCACAGGATCAGGCTCCCTCCTGTCTGGATCAGGCCGAAACCAGCTATCTGACATCCCCTGAGGGGTTCCGGATTGCAAGACGGTGCAGGCCAGGCCAAGGGACCCCACCAGTGCACGAATCCGTGCACTGGGCCTCTAGTGATTTCATAACATCTAATTTGACTTAACTGAATCACTGGAAAAGTATAAAAGACTTATTGCCTAAATATTTCTAAAGTAGAACAGAAAAATAAATTTACCCAATATAATAAAATCCTGCAGTAATGTACATCTCAAAAACTAAAATTTAAATATTATGGAACTGGCAGTGGGTTCCAGTCTTCCTCTGTATGACCCATTCTCAAACATGGGTGGACTAAAGTTCTAGTCTGTGTCTGTGGTGGGGAGTAGACATGGTATGCAGGAAATGGGACCACTGGCCTCAGTATTATCTTGGCCCAAACTGATTGGGAGATTCCTAGAATAAGCTCACTTGAGACTGCTAGCTCATCACAGAACTCAGAATATTTCAGGTGAAGCAGAAAACTGTCACTAGGTGATACCAAACTGCAGTGGGACAGGGAGAAATGTGGATCAGCAGGTAGACCTCCTGCACTCCAGGCTAGTTTAACTGTGCAGACCTGCTCAGTCATCTCAGTAACTTCACAATAACATTACTCCTCATTGTATGTGTTTGAAAATTTTGACCCTATTTCTGTTATGGTGGGGTTTATGAGTTAATCACCTTTTCTGGGCATTTATCTTAATGTGGTGACATATTTGACACATACACTTACATCAACAGAAGAACTGATACTGCTCCTTGAGCCTGAGGTACTAGCAATCCAATGGCCATATCCATTTTCTGGTCCATCCACATTAATATCTGCTAAGTGCTGCTGCAATGCTTAAAATAAATGAGAAGAAAATAAAACCCATCAAATCAACCCCTTTTGGAAAGATCCATTACTAGAGAAGTATAATAAACATGTCATAGCTGGATGAAAAAGGATCCACAGACATGATTACAGGTCTTTCTTTCTGCACCTCTGAAAAGGAGAAAAGGACTTCAAGCCACAGAAAGCCTTCCCTTCCTCTTCTCCTTCCTTCTAATGCCCTCTGTACGCATATATTGCTTTTCTTAACTGATCCTGTGGGTGACAATAACTGTATATATAGGCTTGATATTTTCCTTTTTGGAAGGTAATCTTTCAAGTATTAATAGATGATTTCAGCAACATTTTCTTATGACATAGAAGATTAATAGAAAACTTACTGTTATACCTGAAACAAATACAAAATAATATTGAATGTAAACTCTAATTTAAAAAAAAGAAAGAAAAAAAACCTACGGTGACTTTTATTTTACCATAAGGAGATATCAATCTTTGCCATAATAAAAAAAGCAGTCTAGGCATTAACTGCTATGGAAAAAGAGTTTTTCTTGGAAAATAAATAATTCATACCTTTAGGCCAATACTTGCTTAACACTTTATTAAAATAATCCCTTCTGTAGATCACTCTATGTCTGAGCCTCAAAGATAATTAATTATCAGGCCACGATATATGGGAGGTAATCATGATCCTTGCTAATGTCATAAGGACAAGAAGGAAACAAGTACTAATCTGAAAATACTAAGTTATGACATAAGATAATGTAATTACCATTTCTTTTTCGTGGCTGTAATAACGAAGATTTAGGCTCTTTGCAAGTTTGATGATCACAGTACAGTTTCATTGCCTATACTCACTATACTGTACATTAGTACTGCAGGACTTATTTACTAGTTGCAAGTCTGTCCACTTAAATGACATCTCTTGTAAAAAATGAAAACTCTAAATGTTATTACTCTGACCTAATTCTTCATAAATTCTCAAATATTGCCTGCAGAGATTTTGTCAATTATTTTACTAACCTGGATTACCAGATATTAGTCTGCAGATTTGAAAACATCAGCTTATTTGTTTTATTCCATTGAGCCAACATTTTTCTAGCAGCTAATATCTTCAAGTAGTTCAAAAATAAAATAAAAACAAAACAAATTTAAAAAGCAAGAGTAGGAAGGACATACAGATACAGTGAAAAGTATTCCTCCTACTCCTTTCCTAGATCCTATCTACTTCTTCTCTGTAGAGGCAAGTCATGTGGGCAGTTATTCAGGCATCTTTACAAAAATATCTTTTGCAAATACAAGCTAACTAAACACATCTATTTATAGAGTCTTCTATTAAATATTTATCAATTTCCTATTATATTTGTCTATTACCTATGTTCTGCTGGCTTTGTCTTTTCTGAAAATACTGAATGACTAAAGAGAGAAAATACCCATTAACTGACTTAGTTAACTACAAATCAGCTCTGATTAATATAATTTCCACTGAAAAGTGGAGGCAAAGGGATTAATAAGTTAAAATCTTACCCATAAATCCTCCACTGGCAATGCTCACATATTCTTTGTTTTTCTGTAATGGAATATAAACTTTAAATTATTCCAAAATGCAATATAATTAAAACTCCTGATAATTCTGTAAACATTGACAGATGTAATATAAGGTTATATGCTAACATTATGGACTTTGGCACAGAGAGGTAAATACATTTACCTTGTGTACTGTAAGGTCTGGTACTTGGGTGGGAAGAAAGGAAGAACTTCATGGCTCTAACAAGACTGTAATTTTATTTGTATTATAGTTCCAATAGTGTAATAAAGAGTCAAATGAAAAACAGGTAAGTTGTATTTTTGGATATAATTAGAGTGTGTTTTTTTTTTTAAATTTTCAAAATAGTGTGTCCTTTATAAAAAGGAAATATAAAAGCAAATATTCCAAATGAAAAAAATGACAGAATGTTACCATTTTACAAACAATTTCCCCTCTAACAAATAACATGCAAGGAAATACATTTTGAAAGATAACTTATAAATCTATAAATTTAAAAAGACTTAAAAAGATATCATCCAAGTGCAATGTCTTGTTTTGGATATTGGGAAATTCAGGGAAACCTGAACACTATGTTATTTTTTATAATAAAGTCTAATAATGATAATGTGATTATGTCTGTACAAAGAGTTTATAGGTTTCAATTCTCTGCATTTCTAGATTTGTTTGAAATTATCCATGATAAAAATCGGGAGGGAAATTTCTAAGCCACATCAAGAACTTGAATTATAAAAATAGAGTTCACAATATTCCAAATTTTTGCTATCTGACAGCCCTCCCAATAAGCAGTTTATACCAGAGCATTTTTTGAATAGGCCAATTAAATTTATAAATAAAATGAGTTTGAGCCCCTATTTGTTATTCTGTATAAATTTCTAAAATCTTTTCTTTAATAAAGTACAAAGTTATCTTATAGTCTCTCCCCCAAATATCTCAGTACTTCTCTCATTTTGTCTTTCAAGGATTCTGTCTTCTACAATAATTTTCTCAAACCTGATTTCCAGTAAAATATAACATGAATAGAAAGGACCCAAGTTGAGTGGCTTATGCAACACCACACCACTGTCTTCCTGATTCCACAGTTCAGGGTTACACAAAAAGAGGACTTTAACTGAGTACGGCTTTGTAGAGAAGGGAGGGGAACAGATTGCATAAAGTCACAAATACTGATTAGTTACACTGAAGATAATTTATATTCAAACACACAAAAAGAGGTAGCTAAAAATAGTGAATATATTAAAATGAATTACACAGCTACTATAAATAGTCTTAGGACATGAATAAAGGTAAAGATCAATGCAATGGGATAATCCAGAAACAGATGCTAACATATAGAAGAATTCAGTATATTAAAATTGTGGTATTTAAAATTGATAGCATAACTGGTTAGCTACCAGGGAAAAAAATTTTATTTTTTTGCTTCCTACATACTTTTTGCATAGAAAACCATTCCAGACAGTTCACAACTTAAACAAAAACGGAAACCTGATAAGCATGCAAGAAAACTCTGGGGGAAAGACCTTTCTTGGCAAGACACAAAATATACAAACTGTAAAAAAAAAAAAAAAAAAATACAGCCCAGCTGGAGTGGCTCAATGGTTGAGTGTCGACCTATGAACCAGGAGGTCATGGTTTGATTCCCAGTCAGGGCATATGCCCGAGTTGCAGGCTCAATCCCTAGTAGGGGGCATGCAGGAGGCAGCCAATCAATGATTCTCTCTCATCATTGATGTTTCTATCTCTCTCTCCCTCTCCCTTTCTTTCTGAAATCAATATAAATATATTTTTTTAAAAAGAAAAACATACAGATAAATTTAACAATGTAGATAACAGCACAAAAATGCCTATGAGAATTTCTTTCTTTTTAAAAAAATATATTTTATTGATTTTTTACAGAGAGGGAGGGAGAGGGATAGAGAGTTAGAAACATTGATGAGAGAGAAACATCAATCAGCTGCCTCCTGCACACCCCCTACTGGGGATATGCCCGCAACCAAGGTACATGCCCTTGGCCAGAATCAAATCTGGGACCCTTCAGTCCGCAGGCCGACGCTCTATCCACTGAGCCAAACCGGTTAGGGCGAGAATTTTTTAAAGGTGATAGCAATAACAAAGCAAAGTTGAAATAATCTGCCAGCATACCTGTAAGAAGTGTGCCAGGACCATGTTCATATACATGTCTTCTTCCTCTCTGCCACTGCCCATGAAACAGAGGTGTTCCCCACCAGCGATGGAGCCAGACTCAATGGACTGCTTCTGTGCTTCCAGCAAGGACTTTACTGACTGTGCAAATTCAGATGGATTCTGGAGCATCTAGACAATTACAAAAAATTAAAAACATGCCCACGCTGTATTTCACAAACATGTGCAAAACCTGAAGTAGTTTTCTAGGAAAAAAAATATTTAGTCACCATGAAAACAAAAAAAAGACTCTTATAAATAAAATTCCTGGGATAAGAAAAAAGAAATATGTGTAAATGTACCTATAATATATAAAAACAAAAGTTGAAAATTTACTGAAACATTAAGCTACCTGTACAGTGGTCCATGGTACAGATATACCATTATATAAAATAAACAGCCTACTAGAAAAAAATGTGTGGTTACTGTTTGTTTCTTTTTAATATATTTTATTGATTTTTTACAGAGAGAAAGGGAGAGGGATAGAGAGCTAGAAACATCGATAGCTGCCTCCTGCACACTCCCTACTGGGGATGTGCCCGCAACCAAGGTACATGCCCTTGACCAGAACCGAACGTGGGACCCTTGAGTCCACAGACCAACGCTCTATCCACTGAGCCAAACCAATTAGGGCTACTGTTTGTTTCTTAATAAATTACAGTGTTCCTTAGGTGTCATGACAAGAAAAGTTTAACACTGAGTGGAATGGTCCATGACTAAAAATAATACATTAAAAACAAGCTATATTTTTTATTTTCACTAACACAGAAAGCCATGTATTTCTTAGAGGACAGTCAGAAATAGCAGAAACCCTTTATTTATCAGCACTACTCTAGGTACTAGAGAGAAAGGAATGAAAAAATTAATTTCTCACTCTCAAGGAACAAGTATGCTAATAACTACATTTTTTTTTGAAACTACTATACTAGGGCACATTAAAAAAAGCACAGTGAAAATCCAATAAAAAATGGATAAACCATAGAAGCAATTTGCTAAATAATTAAACAGCAAACTTGCAAAAGGATGCTTAATATTACTAGCTATTACCACTGTTTTTCATCCATTATTCTTAGCAAGTAAAAAATAATTGGTAATGTCCACTAACGCTGAATGTAGAAAACAATTATTCTCATATACGGTTGTAAAGTATAAAGGTTCAGCCTTTTTAAAGGGCAATATGGCAGTCGTCTCTTTTAAAATTTTCCACATCCACACCTCTCAACCCAACAACTCTTCTTTGAGGAATCTATTTTAAGAAATATTTGCATGAGTTCACAATATATGTACAGGATGTTAACTGCACTGATTATTATAAGAAATGTAATGTTAATTACATTTGATTAATGTATTATTAATCAAACAATAATCAAAATGTAAATTAATCAAAATGTACATTAATCAAACAATAATTATGGTATATCTGTACCATGGACCAAATACCGCCATTAAAAAGAATGTACTTAACTGGAAAGATCTCTAAGAAGCTTTTAAATCAAAAAACAAATGAACTGCCAAGTGGAAAAAGCGAACAAAAAATATATAAATATGTATGACAGGTCTAGAAGATTAAGTATGCTGTTAACAGTTAACTCTGGAGATTCTCTGAATTTTTTGTTTAATTCAAGTATTTGTGAATCACCTGAGTAAATTTTAAAACCATCTAAGTCTTCCTGCACTAATCAAGGAAGAGAAAGGCACAAAGTTCACTTTCAGGATGCAAACAAGCTAGGATTGCCTTCTTTACCTACAGCGCCCAAAACTCTCTGGGTTGTTTTACCTTCATTTTCCAGGAGTTTCCTCTCAACACCACCTAGGCCCTGCTACATGCCCTTTCAGCCATAGCATCAATTTTTTCAGACACGCTGGGAAGAGGGTAGATTGCACCATCAGCAAAAGTGTTTACTGCTCTTTCCATCTTCCCTATCCCCAAGGCTCTAATAACCTCATAACGGCTTAAATGACATCAGTCCCAAGTCTACACTACTCTAAGCATCTCTGACAATATTTAACTATTTACCTCATCTACTTCTTCAATTAAAGTGATCAGACGATAGAAATTTTAACAACTTAACACCTATTAAGTATTAGTTTATTATATACGTAAGTATTCATGATGGGAAAAAAGGCTTATCATAAAAACTTTTAGAATAATTACCCAATTATAAAAGAGCTAATATTTACAGAGTACTTACTAGGTGCAAGGCACATCAGGTAGCTTGTAGTCAGAAGTTTAGAATTTACTGACATAACAATGGTAAGCAATAGTAAGCCATAGTAAACAATGTTTTCATCTATCCTTTAGGACAGTGGTTCTCAACCTTCTGGCCCTTTAAATACAGTTTCTCATGTTGTGACCCAACCATAAAATTATTTTCGTTGATACTTCATAACTGTAATGTTGCTACTGCTATGAATCGTAATGTAAACATCTGATATACAGGATGGTCTTAGGCAACCCCTGTGAAAGGGTCGTTCGACCGCCAAAGGGGTCACGACCCACAGGTTGAGAACCGCTTCTTTAGGATGCCAAAATGGTGTCCCGAGTGAAAAGCAACCGGAGAGCAACTTTTATCATAAGGACAGAGACTCCCTCCTTAAGCAGAAAGAAAAACATCCCTAAATTGGGTACATTTACTAGTATATTTATAAGCTAAAGAAAATAAAAAGATTTCTTCTGTTAATTAAAAAAAATTAATAAGCATTTATACTAACCAGATCTGAATCTAAGTGGAAAGCAGTTGATAAATGCCCAGCATTATACTGTTCTGCAGGACGGCAATCCACCACAAAGAACCGGACTCCTTCCTAAGAAAGAAACAATTTTTTGATGTACTGAAATTTGCCATTAGAGTTGTATTTTAGACAATACTAATAATTAACCAAAGGAGGGGGAATAGATTTATAAAAAAATTGATCTCACATAGATCAGAAGGACCCAATCAATACAGATACAAGAAAATTACCTCAAGTTCCTAAAACATTATATTAATTTAAAACAATAAAACATTTTGTATATACTGTTCTTGACCAGAAAGTATTAAAATATGTACCAGGAAAATGTCAGTTTGAATTATAAAACTAATTATAATAGATTGGAACTTAATTTTTTAAATGTGTATCATGTTAAACAATTTTTTAAAAACCATATAGGTACAATTCCTGTTTCTGCAAATAAATCCACAAACTTATCAACACTTCAATTCACATAAGAACTAAACTTTTTTGGTGGGTGAGGGGAGGTTTTACAATTGCAGTTTGAACTGAGGAGGTTCATATGGGTCTCATTAAACTATATTACATATTTTCATTTGTTTTTAAATACTAGTTCTAGCCCTGACTGGTTTAGCTCAGTGGATAGAACGTCGGCCTACGGACTGAAGGGTCCCAGGGCAGTCAAGGGCAAGTGCCTTGGTTGCAGGCACATCCCTAGTGGAGGGTGTGCAGGAGGCAGCTGATCAATGTTTCTCTCTCATCGATATTTCTAACTCTCTATCCCTCTTCCTTCCACTCTGTAAAAAATCAATAAAATATATTTAAAAAAATAATAGTTCTAATAAGAAAAATACGTGAATTACTTGTTTTAAAAAGATCTACTGTCAAAGGCATTTTCCCATGTCTATTCCTCTTTCCTCTTTGGAAATACATCCCACATTCCAAATACACACTTGCATGGGTAAATGTTGCAATACTAGTAACAGTTCCTCAAGTCTCCTTTGTTACATGCTTTATGGCATTTAACCTTGTAATTTAATCAATTGTGTAACAATCCAGAATTTAACTGTTAAATGCTGAATTCACTCTGTTAAGTACTTTATACACCATTTAGTTGCTCTGCTAAAACGAAAAAGGTTTAACAGTTTACAAAAATTGGTGTAAAAAATAATTAGTTGTTGACAACTAAAATAACACCAATACTGGCAGTTTAAAAACAACCATCTGGACAGAAGATTTAGCACATTAATCATCAAAGAAAGCAAAATAGCCCCTTTTTTTAGTAGATTAATTTTGTGGAAATCATCAAACAGGGAGGAAATACTGGTTCCTTGTATTTAAAGGGAACAATCTTGCCCTAGCCGGTTTGGCTCAGTGGACAGAGCATCGACCTGCAGACCAAAGGGTCCCTGGTTCAATTCTGACCTTGACTGCAGGCTCCTCCCTGGCCCAGGCTTGATCAGGGCTCGTGCAGGAGGCAACCAATCGATGTTTCTCTTATATCGATGTTTCTCTCTGTCTCTTCTTCTCTCTTACACTTTCCCGAAAAAATCAATGGAAAAATATCTTGGGGTGAGGATTAACAACAATAACAAAATAATAATAAAAATAAAAAATAAAAGGGACAGTTCTCTGACAAAACTGTGGGCTTTCTTTACTTACCCCCTGCAGCTGATTTGCTTGAAGGATCTCTGAGACCGAGATTGCCAGACAAAGAGCCTGACTCAGATCTGCTTCATCATCCTTAATTCCCAACAAAGTACTACCAAATAGATGGTGATTATCCTGTTTGGAGAGAAAATTTAAGAATACTATAAAGAAAAAACAAAATCAAAATTTCTTTCTGAAATACTCTTAATATGGCATGGTAAGAGGTAAAATCTCTCTATATATAAAAGCCTAAGTGACCGGTCGACTGGTTGACTGGTAGCTATGACGTGCACTGACCACCAGGGGGCAGATGCTCAACGCAGGAGCTGCCACTTGGTGGTCAGTGTGCTCCCACAGCGGGAGCACCACATAGCTGACCAACAGGCGCCAGACTTCGGGCTCATAGCTGGTGAGCCTACCGAGCGGTAGGGCAGGTACAGCAGGACTGGGATGAGTGGGAGCAGCAAAGAGCCCAGCCCGGGCTCCTCCCCGGCTGCCTGCTGCAGCCTGATCCCTGCAGGCCATGCTGAGGGACCCCATCAGTGCACAAATGCATGCACTGGGCCTCTAGTAATTATATAACATCCTTGAGTTGTGTGACTTTTAAAACTTAATATGTCATCTCAAATCTTGTAAGCTAAAAACTACAAAAAGATACAAAGTTCCTGTCAGAGTTGACACAAAATGAAAGAAATGAAATAACACATTCTTCAAAGTTATTTTCCATACTATTACCTATAGCTAAATACTAAATTTTAAAATTGGTTACTCACAACTTTTCATATTTGATATAATAAAAACAAAAATATGGCATAAATGAATTGCATAAATTATGTAAGACACTGATTATACAGTACAGTCTGCTCTAATTAGCCAATGCTGGTGCAGATCATTTACTATGTCTGAATAAAAACTATTCCTCTTAAGAGACTGGAAAGTGTAAGACTTCTTTTCACCCAGCATCCTAAATTACTATCCCATAATCTGACTTACTCAACATTGTTGGGAACTGAGGAGATTTACACAAGGCAATCATTAAAATAGCTGAAATCAGTCCCTAGAAACAAAACAAATCTCTTCTTAAATTAGTTTCAAGGAAAATATTCTTAAAAGGTTTCTCTTAACTGCCTTCTAAAACATGCTATACTGAACATAACTTAGCCTCATCTTGATGTTTCCGTGACATGATAACTATCAACTAGCAATCATTATGGTACAATGCGTTAAAAAAAAAAAGACAATTAATGCTCTCATTGATACCTGAGGTCACAGACAAAACTGTGTGCCATACTAGTTGTTAAAGTACTTCTCTACCTCCTCCACTATTAGCTTTTGCTTCCTGAAGTTTTACTTTCTAGGAGCTCACACCACTTACACTTCTAATCTGGTGTCCTTTCTCTTGTAAGCACTTGTCTGGTCTGAGAAAGATTCTAGGTCTCTATAGGGCTAAGTGATCCTTTTTTGCTTACAAGACAGCTCTGCATCAGTAAAGTGCAAAGCTGAACTCCAAATAAAGAAGGCATAATTATACGTGCCCCATCAGATTTTTGTAATACAATTTTTAAAAGAGAGCACTAATTTAAGAAATGTAGTCAATATTCTAATGATCAGAAATAACTAATAATCAGAGTAGGGGTGAGATAATTTGTTAACGTATCTGTATACTATCTTTCTTAATCTGTCTGTTTCTCCATGAGGGAGAGTATTTATAGTAGAAAATCACACAAAACTGCAACACATAAAAAGACAGAAAAGAAAACCAGCCTTGAGTATTTTAAATAAAATGGATAATGAGAACAGTAAAACAATGTGCAAAATGTGAAACAATGAATAGTTTGTCATTTCCTATTTTATACCTTTCTAAATGAAGCTGGTGTTTTACTGCAATAATACTGAGCCAGAGAGAAAAGGTCTTCTATATCTTCTAGATTCAAACTGGATGGAGTGTTTTCCAAGAACTCTGAAATAGGAGTATAGAGATAACAACATTTAAAAAAATTTTTGTGAAGAATATAACAAACATTATTTATGTATCAAAGCTAGAATGTGCTCAACATAACAAAAATTATATAAATGGAATCTTAACAGTGATGCCTTTAAAACTGTTTGGGGAGAAGTGGATTTCCCCAAAGGAGCTGAAACTGTTAATGCAATTCTATTAGTGAATGATGGTGACAGGCAACCAAATCAAATTCATTAGCCTTGATTAGAATATTGTAATTTATTTACTTATTTAACAAACAGCTAGTAAGTGCCAGGGTCTCTGGAAATAAAAGTGACTAAGAAATAGTTCCTGACTTAAGGAACTTTGTCTTGTGTGAGAATGTTAAAATAAATCATTAAAATGTTAACAAGATAAACACTGTAATATAGATAGCACAAAGTGCTAGGCAATGTAGAGAGAAAATAACAAATCTGTCTTGGGTTAGAGTGGGAAGGACCGAAAAGGAGAACCAAGGTTTCACAATGAAGATATCATGAAAGCAGAGTATTGAAAGGTAAACTGAGGAAGAAGGAAGGGGGCTGGAAAGGAAGGGGGCAGGAGAGAAGGGAAAAGAGAGAGAGGGAGAGGAAGAGAGGAAGGCAGGGAGGGAGACAGGAAGGGAGGAAAGGAGGTAGAAAAAGAGAAGGAAGGAGAAGGGGAGAGAAGGGGAGGGCAAGGCATTTTATTTGAACAAGGAAACCAAAGAAATGGTATATGGAAAGGAATGAAAAAACATGAATGAATGAATGAATGAGGATAGCAAAACTGGGGAAAGTAGTCTAACATTTGAACCTGAAGACTAAGTAAGAGTTGAATAGAAACTTAGAGCTCTTCTAGACTAATCCCCTAAATTTATAGATGAGGAAACTGAGTTTAATAAAACTAAGTGATGCTAAGCCAGTGAAATAAGCCAGTCAGAGAAATATAAATATCACATGATCTCGCTCATTTGTGGAATATAATGAACAACATAAACTGATGAACAAAAATAGAACCAGAGACACAGAAGCATCCAACAGACTGTCCAACCTATGAGGGAAGGTAGGAAATGTGGGGGTGAGAGATCAACCAAAGGACTTGTATGCATGCATATGAGCATAACCAATGGACACAGACAGTAGGGGGGCGAGGGCATGTGCTGGGGGCTGGGAACAGCCGAGTAGAGGTCAATAGGGGAAAAAGGAGACTCATGTAATACTTTAAACAATAAAGAATTTAAATTAAAAATAAAAATAAATAAATAAAACTAAGTGACATGAAATTATCTACATTAAATTCTACTTACGGATAACTTCTTCTTTGCTGTCAGACTCTTGTGCTAAAATAACTTCTCTGTAAAAAAAGAATCAAATGAGTTAAATATTAACAGACCACCCTGAGAACAGAGAAGAGAAAAATCTAACCAACTTGATACTTACTTTGCATTAACAAGGATTATTAACATTAAAAAATAAATAAAAAATGGATCTGCTTGTTGTAGATATCCATCCCATAACGCCTCAGTGACTTCAATGGAACAGTAACATGCAAAAAGGCTTCCAAGCTGTAATCAGAAAATGAAATGATGAACATAAGCCATTAGAAATAACTTGTTCTTTTAAAAGTATTAAAGCAAATGCGTAAGTAACTCTAAATCAAGTTATCAGCAGCTGAAATTTAATGTGTACTTTAATTTTAGTATTCAGAATCCAAAGGCAGAACATGTGGATTCAAAGCACTGAGGAGCCACATACTAGCTGTCTGACTTAGGGCATAAAACAAACTTCAAAGCTTCCATTTCTACTTCTGTTAAAAAATAAAAATACTACTACCCACCTTCTTACATTGTTGTGAAGAGATAATTAACCTAGACTTTCTAAAGTAACTACCACATATTTACCATACCCTAATAACTAACAATTACCACTGAGCTCTCTAAGGATAACTAGCATAATTATTACAGTATCTAATTTACAAGGTAATTGTGAGAATCAAACACAGTAATTGAAAAGCACCTAAAAATATTTAATGACAACTATGAATTGCTCCCAATGCTTACTTGTATATCATTTGAAATATATGAGACAACATTTATACCCCTCAATAGGTTTCAAAACCCTATGGTTTTCTCTTCCAAATAAAAAAATTGTTAATGTATTCGTTTCTCTAGAGTCCAACTGTGCTTTAAATTGCACAAATTCAATGATACTTTTCATTTTCATTAGATACAGAAACAATTCCATGTAGAAATTTAAGTTTAAAACATTTCTTATGGCTAAAGGCAGCTAATGAGAATACATACATTTAGTGCCAGAACACATATATGTTGTTCCAGACACTAAGCTACTGTCACAGTATTAAATATTTTTATTTAAAATATCTCTGTATTTCAAATATTCTCACAACAGGCCTTCAAAGAAGACATTTTCCTCCCCATTTTATAGGTGAGGAAACAGACTTGTATTAAATAACATTCCCAAGTTCACAGAACTAATTAGTGGTGGTATTCAAACTAAAGACCTGAGAAGCCACAGCCCATGTAACTGCCATTACACTTGACCACAAAACTTTTAAAATACATAATACTACTGATGTTTTTTGTTGTTTAAAAAAAATTACTCTTAAAAATAGATCAGAAGATGCAAATACAAACAGAATAGCAATACGGTCATCATTAAACTCACTTAACTAAAGCTAACATTGCACTGCTTATAACTGTGGATTCTCAGGGTTTAAGAATTAGTTTTGTTTCATCTCAGGTTAAAAAAGAAAAGCTCTGCCCTAGCTGGTTTGGCTCAGTGGATAGAGCGTTGGCCTGCAGACCGAAGGGTCCAGGGTTCGATTCCAGTCAAGGGCATGTACCTCGGTGGCAGGCTCCTCCCGGCCCAGGCCCTGGTCAGGGCTCGTGCTGGAGGCAACCAATCGATGTGTTTCTCTCACATCAAGGTTTCTCTTTGTCTTTCCCTCTCTCTTCCACTCTCCCTAAAAATCAATGGAAAAATATCCTTGGGTGAGGATTAACAAAAAAGAAAAAAAGAAAAAAGACTCCATTCTACAGACATACTCGTAGCAAGAATGAACTATTTGGGGTACTGAAAGAAGAGAAACCAGTTTTTAATACTTAGTTAAAATCTACTACCAGCACTGAGTACTAATTTCGAGTTCTGGTAACAGAAATGGCATGTTCTAAGCATGGTGTGACCAGAGAAACCACCATTAAGTATTAGAATGCTAAAAAAATAAAAATAAAAATAAAAATTCCTCATTTCAACACAAATAAGGAGTTAATAGCAAACATGAATCTCCAGAGAAGCAACAGTTTTATAGGCATTTTATTATTTTAACTCAGAGTGACAAGACTATAGCCAAGAGGGAACTAAAGAATAGGCTGCTGCAGTTTCAGATTTACTAGGCCAGAGTTTAAACCCAGTTAGAATCTCTATTTAGCATTTTCTGATTGTTAACTCATCCCTTTACCCTCTGAGATAGATACTATTATTCCCATTTTACAGATGAAAAAATTGAAGCTCAGAGGCTGTCTTAAATCACAGTTAATAAGTGATTGCAATGGAATTTCCTGAAATTAGATAAGACACGAAAAAGGAATGTTTAGTTTTTGAATATATATTCTTCCAGCACCCAATCATTGTTTTAAAAATATCTTAAATAAAACCTAGAAGAGCAGTTCTCAAAGTATGACCTGAGGTGCCCTGAAGTCCCGAAGAGTATTTACAGGGGAGTCAATGATGTGAAATAATACTTAGACTTTATTTGCCTTTTTCATACTCATGCTCTCACAAATAAACAACAGAATGTTCCAAAGGCTACATGAAGTGTGGTATCATCAGAGACTGAATCCAGAAGCAAATATGAGAATCTACTAAAAATTAATGAGATGTGCAAAAATATAGAACTAGAGGCCAGGTGCACGAAATTCGTGCACTGGGTGGTGGTGGTGGGGGTTTTCCTCAGCCCAGCCTGCACCCTCTCTAATCCGGGACCCCTCGGGGGATGTCCGACTGCAGGTTTAGGCCCAATCCCTCTCGCAGTCGGACATCCCTCTTGCAATCTGGGACCGCTGGCTCCTAACTGCCTGCCTGCCTGCCTGCCTGCGTGCCTGATCGCCCCTAACCACTCTGCCTGCTGGCCTGATGCCCCTGTTCCCCTGCCGGCCTGATTGCCCCTAACCGCCTCTGCCTCAGCCCCACCACCGTGGCTTTGTCCAGAAGATATCTGGTCTAATTAGCATATTACCCTTTTATTAGTATAGATGCCAATGCCACTATTCTCACTAATTTTCTTCTGAAAAATATAGTTACTTTTTATTTTAAAAGTAGGTTATTTATGTTAACATGTAATGGATTTATCATTACTCTAAATAAATACTTAAAACTTCTTAGTTTTAATTTCTAATGAACATAACCCATATAAACAATGGAACCTCAATAAATGTTGTATATAAGTGGTCCCAAGATCAAAAGATTTGAGGACACTGACCTAGAATAACAAACTTCCCACTCAACATACAAATACAGAATGTCAGAGCACTGAGATGTACATTATATTCTTTTATATTAGTCATTTGATAATCTTAACTATTTTCATGACTGAATATCACTTCTACTATAAATCATCAATTTTATTCAAGTTTCAAAGTGAACTAATATTTATCATATATTACATACATATATTTATATACTAGAGGCCCAGTGCATGAAATTCATGCACGGATGGGGTCCCTAGGCCTGGCCAGTGATCAGGGCCGGGCCGACCGGGGCCCGAAGGCCCCAGTGGGGTCAGGAGAGAAGGCGATGGTCGTCAGGATGGGTGTGGAAGGAACAGATGCCGGATGCTGATGCCGCCACCATGCGGTTCCCTGTCTCCCCCCTACCTCCTTCCCTCGCCGCAGCGCCGCCACTGTGCTGGGCGGGTGGTGGGCTGATCGGGGCCTGCCAGCTGGGGGTAGGTACAGGGTGCAGGAGGTTGGCCGCTGGCCCCGAGGAGAGAACTGGCCCTTGGCCCCCCTGATAAAGGGGCTGAGTCTGCCGCCACCCATTTCTGGTTCCCCATCCCAGCCCGGGGCCTGGACCCAATTGGGCGATCGGGGCCTGCTGGCTTGGGGGGAGAGATTGCGGGAGGTTGGCCAGCCAGGGGAGGTTGGCTGTGGGAGCACACTGACCACCAGGGGCAGCTCTTACATTGCGTGTCTGCCCTCCTGGTGGGTCAGCGCGCGTCACAGCAACCGGTCATTCAGTTGTAACGGTCACTAAGGCTTTTATATATATATATAGATGTGTATATAAATATGTCACATATTTTGTAAAACAAAAGGCTGAAGTTCATATTAACCTAAACTGACTAACAAAAGTGAGAAGCAAAACAAGCTACTTATGAAGTGCCAATAATTTTACTCCTTTGGTTTAATGGTCGATAATTTAGTACTTTTCTGTTTCTTCCTTGGAGGAAAAAATATCTAATTATAGTTTCATAAAAATCTATTTTTCATTAAGTGTTCCTACTTTCACTTTATTACCCAGTTGAGTGCATAGGAGTCTGGAGTAATTTTCTTTGTATCAAGGAATGAACAAAGCTCAGGCTCATGGTATTGGATGAGTAATCGGAAAAGATGAAAGGGTCTCCCCTTCAGGGAACAATCCCTAGAAGACAAAAGAAGAAAAGTTTCTTGCATTAATAGGTCAGAAATGATCACATCAGTAACCAATGCTCTTGTAATATCCACCTCCTTCCTACCCTCAGAACACCTGAATACCAGTCTAATAAACCAGGAGAGCTCTCTTGCTAACACCTAATGGACCTGACTTGACAGAAAGTTGTAGAAGCAACAGGTCTACAACCAACTCTAGGGAGATTCTTTAGGTGAACCTGGGCAGCACTCTAACAAAAGGACTACAGGACCACTGAAAACAGCAGGACTACTTAGGGTATTTTGGTAAATTTTGAAATTGGAGAGTTCTGAAGAAGTCCAGCCCCCTTTTTTTCCTGCTAAATTAAGAGGAAACTCCTAAGAAGGCTTCAGGTTAATGTACACAATTAGGAATGTCCTTCAGGCAAAGGTACAAGTCTGAAATGGCCAGATGAACATTTCAGAATAGACACAGAAGAAAGAGCCTTACAAGCTGCTGAAGTAGCCCGGTTACTAGGTGCCTGGAGTGAATTCTAGAAGGTAACAAACACGCACCTTACTTATAACCATCCTACTTCTTGCCTGTTCCCTTGTGTCCAAGAAGATACCATGTGCCAGACACTGTAATAGACACTTTTAAAAAGTTATCTCAGTTTATCTATAAAACCAACCTTATAAAATAGACACTATTATTTCCCCTGTTGCACAACTGAAAAAACTAAGGCTTGGTTGTAGTCAAGTAGCTCACCCAAGGTCATATATCTAAGAAGTGATGGAGCTAAGACTTGTACACAGAAACTGGGCATTAAGCTATTATGCCATACTACCCTTCCATAAATATAACTTGATATTTTAAAAAGTGGTATTTTGGTAGCAGTACAGTCTCTAAAAAAGCAAACTGTACACCCTGGCCTGTGTTGCTCAATGATCAGAGCGTCGAAATGTGCACTGAATGGTCTCGGGTTTGATTCCAGGTCCAGGGCATCTACCTGATGTGGGGTTTGACCCTGGCCCCAGTCGGGGTATGTGTGGGAGGCAACCAAAGAAATGTGTCTCTCTCACACCAATGTTTCCCCCTCTCTCTTTCTGTTTCTTGCCCCCTTCCTCCTTCTCTTTCACTCTCTCTAAAAATCAATGGAAAAAATATCCATAGGTGAGGATTAACAACAACAAAATAATAAAGCAAACTGTAAAGATACCAAGGTAAAAGGATGCATGCAAAAAAATTAATGAAATGAATGTCACAGTTTTAACATAAAAGCATTAAATATGTTTATCTTTAAAAGCAACCCTGTAAAATAAACACTATTATTTCCACTGTTGCACAGTTGAGAAAACTAAGGCTTACTTGTAGCCAAGTAGCTCACCCAAGTAGCTACTTTTGTTGTTTTAACTTATTTTTAATTTTTATTTA